TGACAGTAAAGTAGAATGAGAGAAAAGAGGGATAAAAAAGCTGTTTGTTGCAAATAACTGTATTCTTTCCTCATTCCCTCTCACGCATATACATTATACATCTTAATATTTTACCATGAATGGATTCAATCACTCCCTTCCATTTCCCTGTCTCTCTCACAATTACAAGCATCGTGCACGCACACGCACACACACACACACACACACACAAACACACACACACACACACACACACACACACATGCACACAAGCAAGCACACATGCAAAACCACAATTAGACATATTCAGGAGCAAACACATATATTCCCAATTTTTCTCACTCATCATAGTCTGTAAATAGTTAAAAGCAGGACAAACTACAGGTTTCTTACCTTTCACTTCGAAATGCCCAATGTCTGTCATATTGGAAAATGAGTTTGAAACATTCTGAAAACGACAAAAAAAAACGTACATTGATGAAAATAATATGACTGAAACAATTATTTAAAAAAAACGGTTAGTCAAAATATAACCTCAGTTGTCCGTCAAAGAGGAGTTCAATACATCTTCAAATATTTCTCAAGAGCATCATAATGTATTGCTCATTAGACAACATGCATTGCATCCAGATAAAGATAATATTATATTAATTTTCAATCCAACCTATATTCACACGAGGCTACAGGAACCTAGATATGCAGTTATAATAAACTGTTGACAAGACGAATTAGCACTGAGCATGTATTCCCTTCTGGCTTGGATCAAGCCTTCAGTACTGTACTACTCCCACATCCCCACTCATCCCTCATCAACACCACACCACCCCTCGCCTCCCACAGCCCCACTCACCACTCAAATACTCCACCCGATCCTACCACTCCGACATCCCCATGTACCCCCTCCATAGCATTGGACAGACAGGCGAGAGCCCAGCTGCTGGTGGATTGAGGGCACCTACAACAACAACAACAACAACAACAACAAAAAGTACACCCCCCCCATATACCCCACCCCACACCCACCTCTCCCAACCACACGTTCACCCCTCCAGCATTCCCTCTTCCCAATTCCTCCCTGCATCACCCCTCATATATCCCTCCCTATCCCTTCAACATACCACCCCTTATATACCCCTCCCCATCCCATCACTATCCTCTCCCATCCCTCATAATACTCCACTCCGCCCACTTCTCATAAACCCCCACTCGACTCCTCCAACATCCCCACTCCACTCCTCCAACATCCCCCCTCCACTTCTCCAACATCCACACTCCACTCCTCCAACATCCCCACTCCACTCCTCCCCCAACATCCCCACTCCACTTCTCATAAACCCCCACTCCACTCCTCCAACATCCCCATTTCACTTCTCATAAACCCCCACTCCACTCCTTCAACATCCCCACTCCACCCCTCCAACATCCCCACTCCACTTCTCAAAAAACCCCAACTCCACTCCTCCAACATCCCCACTCCACTTCTCATAAACCCCCACTCCACTCCTCCAACATCCCCACTCCACCCCTCCAACATCCCCACTTCACTTCTCATAACCCCCCACTCCAATCCTCCAACACCCCCACTCCACTCCTCCAACACCCCCACTCCACTCCTCCAACATCCCCACTCACCCCTCCTATACCTTCAACTCCCCCCTCCCTCCCCACTGACATACACCACTTTCACAAAAGAACAACCACACAGCAAAGCACTCACATATCTGTGTACAATCTGATTCTTGAGCAAGGCGTTGGGCGTGTAGTTGGCGAGGTCAGAGGACATCTCACTGCCCAGCGTGCCGCTGATGGTGAGCAGTAGCTTGAGGGTGCCGGCCCCGTCCTCCAGCTGTTGCTCCAGCACGTGCGTCCTCTCCTTCTCCAGCTGGGACAAGTCCACCTCCGCCCTGGAACAACCGACAAACAATTAGTTTTAGTAGAAGTTTTACGGCGTTTGCAACTGCATAAGGTCATATGAGCGCCAGGAGATTAGAGGTGTTACAAGAGAGTAACAAACATAAAAAAGAAGAAGGGCAGATAAGGACGATAGATGTTTGATAGGAAAGAAGAAGCAAACCACACCAGAGCACCCGCCAACCACCAACAACAAACATTGGCCATATGGTCAAATGGTATAGGTTGTTTTTTTAGTTTTAGTAAAAGTTTTACGGCGCTTGCAACACAATAAGGTCATATAAGTGCCGAAGACTAGAGGTGTCACAAGAAGGAGGAGAGATAAGAACAACATATGCTTGATAGGAAAGAAGGAGCAAACCACACCAGAGCACCCGCCACCCACCCACAATGGTATAGGTGCAACGCCCCTATCAACACTATTAGATTATTTAACGTTCATCTCCTAAAGGACCAAGCCAAATCGTGTTATGCGCCTTTCCCTTAGACACAACGTTGGACCGAGCTGAGGCTCGAACCCCCAAACCCGCAAGCTCACTATTGCGAGTCGGGAAGCCTAACCGCTAAGCTACCGACGCCCAAAATTGGCATGTCTTTCATTAGTTAGAGCATGGATTGAATGGTGGTTTTTTATTTTTAGTAAGAGTTTTACGGCACTTGCAATACGGTCATATAAATGCCAAAGATTAGAGGTGTTACAAAGAGTAACAAACACAAAAAAGAAGGAGAGATCCGGACGATAAATGTTTGGTAGGAAAGAAGGAGCAAACCACACCAGAGCACCCGCCAACCACCCAATTGAATGGTGTGTGGCGACAGACATTGGCATGTCTTTCATTAGTTAAAGCATGGGTTTAAAGGCGTGCAATAATCAGGAACAAACAAAGTGTTGTCTTTAACTTTAAAGGGGAACAAAACATTATGATGTCTTTAAATTGTTTAATGAGGAACAAACATTGTAATTTCTTTAATGAGAAACAAACATTGAGGTATCTTTAAGGGGAGAAGCAAACATTGGCATGTTTTTCACTAGTTAGAACATGCACTTTGTTTTAGTAAGAAATTTACGCACTTGCAACACAGTAAGGTCATATGAGTGTCAAAGATTAGGGGCGGACACGAGACGAGCCGAGTACTCGTTTCTCGCGAGAAACGCCCCTCCCGTCGCTTCTCGGGCACTAAACTACTGCTCGGTACCGAGACGTGATACTGCTCGTTGGCTTGACATAACGAGTAACAGTAACGAGACTGAGAGAGTGAAGGGCGAGAAATGACAACGCAGACAGTGCCACCCATCACCGTGCCGTCCTGTGTGTGACATTGAAAGGGAGGGGAGAAGGTGGCGAGTCGAGGCGAGTGGGGAGTTGATCAGGGCCTAGGCCTAGGTCTCCCTACCTTCCTTCGCCGCCTGCACCTGCGCAACAGGGCAAGCCTAGTTTCTAAGTTTAGATCCCCGCCACGATCGGCCTTCCCGCTAAATGAGTTGCTCGTTCTGTGGGGCGAGAAGAGAAATCTCGGCCACGGCCGGCCTTCTCGCCGAACGAGTGGCTCGAACTGCGGGGCGAGAAGAGAAATTGGTCACGAGACGAGAAGTATTGCTCGAGACACGAGTAGGGAAGTATTTCTCGTCCCCGGGACCGGGACTGGTCTCGTCGAGAAGCAGGTCAGCTTCTCGGTCTTCTCGCTCGGGAAGGAAAAAGCGCTTCCCGCCCGTCTCTACCAAAGATTAGCAGTGTTAGTGTTACAAGAGAGTAACAAACACAAAAGAGGGGGAGGAGAGGGCAATGAAGATGTTTGGTAGGAAATAAGAAGCAAAGCACATAAAAGCACCCGCCTACCACCCACTAGCATGGATTTTAAAGTATGAAGCAATCAGGAACAAACACGTCTTTCAAGAAGAACACATTGCGATGTGTTTCAGGAGAAACAAACAGTGTGATGTTTTTCAAGAGCAACAAACATTGTGATGTCTTTCAGAACAAATATTATGATTGTGCTGTCTTATACGTGAGCGTTACAGCACGGCTTTTCAGTTTCGTCATCATCAATCCAGCAACATTTATACTTCTGGTCGCTAATTCAATATTAAATGTATTTTCCCCTAATAAAGCATCTCATTTACATCCATTCATCCAACAGACATCAGGTTCCTAAAATAAGGTTCTTTATATCATGACAGCCTGGACAACCACATACACACATAATATGTGAGGCAGCGTGGTGGAATCAGGCTCTCGTCAATTTTGGGCTTGTAAAGTTATTGGTATCATCTCACAGCTTATTCACTTGTCTTTATTTGGATGAAAAAAATATCCATTTATCTTGAATACAAGTCGAGATATTTGCGAAAGAAGGTGGGGGTCACCTGTTTTCAGAGGTAAAATTAGTGAGAAAATGGCCGCAAAGATTAGTTATTTCCTTAACTTAAGAGTCCGTGGTAACTGAAAATTTTTATTTTCGTGTCTTTATTCAACGCTTTTCAGAAAAATCCACACAGAAAAGAGTTCTTTAATGGGCACGAAAGGTGTTGAGCCAAAAAACAAAAAAAAATGATAAAAATTCACAAACCTGCGGAAAAATGAAAGTTTCTTCACTTTGGTTATTTTGACGAGAGCCTGATTCCACCATGCTGCCTCACATATCTTTCTTCAAACAATCCCCCCGGTCAACGACCATATGGAAATCCAGGTCACTGCATCATAGTGACATAACGTAACAGTTGAGCTAATCATATGCTGTTTCATTTGAAATTCCTTTCAAGATAATATACATAATGCTTTTGATGAGCTCAAACATGTGGGTCAAGTAAAATATGTTAACAAAATTTGCTCTAGGGCTCAAGTTTCAAAGCTGCTCAGACAGCAACGGTTTAAAATTGAAATTTTTTCCCCAAGACTGGAGTTCCACTCAATTTTAATAAACAGACACTGGGAACAGATCTTACATAGCACAGTTATTGACTTAATGGGAAACAGGTTCAGACTCGTTCTCAGCAGCTAAAGCCTCATTGCTGGTAGCAATAACAAAACTAGACATTTAAGCTTAAAACGAGTTAAGCAAAAATTTGCCTTATTCATTATTCCCCCAATAGTTTGTCCGTTCTGTTATCTTCGCGTCAGGTCACTGGCATCATATTATTATTCTCAGAATATAATGAGTAAGCCCTGTGGCATGTGTGTGTGTGTG